AGCGAATGAAGGTGTGGTGCATTACACAGAAACGATGGATACATACATCGAACTGGAGGGACATAGACGACATGTCTGTGCGCATTCAGCAGGAGAATACTGCCGAGGCTCTTGACATGCTCGCTGAGGCAGACGCTACTGTCATGGACGATGCGCTGCTGAAGTCTGCGGTTAGACCCTGCCTTCTGGAAGTATCCCCTGTCGCGCCAGTTCTTCCTGTCTTCTACCGGATTCTGGAGCACCGAGCACAGGATGTCGATAACCTAACCGATCCGCCAACTTTCACCTGGTCGACGGGTGAGCAGGACGCCGCAGCGAATGCAATTTTGCGAGAGACGTGCGCTGATCTCCTGGTTAAATACCTTCCGGAGATCACAGGCGAGGAATATAGGGTGATCCCGCTCTTGCGTGTCTTTACGTCAATGATCAGAGCAGCGCCACTAGATGCATCGCGCACAACTTTAGACATCTCTGTGCTGCAGTCAATAATACGACCACGCCTCATGGAAACGTCCTCCGTCATATCTGTTCTCCCCGTCCTTTACGAGGTCCTAAAGTGCCGAGCGCAAGACGTCGATACTTCAACTGATCCACCGACGCTGACCTGGTCGACGAATGTGCAAGACGCGGCTGAAATTACGTATCTTGGGGAGATATGCATTGATCTCCTGTACAAATATCTTCGCGAGATCGGGAGCGGGCAGTTCGAACCGGTTAGACTATTGCATCATTTGGCATCATTGATCAAATACATGCCGTACGATGCCGCGAGAACAACATCCTGTGAGATCATGGAGACCCTCCGCACGTACGGTCCCCATGATGCAACATGGGAACAGCGTCGTGATCTATGTGCTATTTTGCCTGGTGCGTGAGCATTCATGTCCGAATACAAAGCAGTCCTCTAATGATGCTCAAGTTTCCTTCATTGATGCGGTTGTCCATCCGAGCATTCAGCCTGGAGGCCTCCCTCTGGACATCGCCATTCAGGTCTACCATACTATTCTCCGGTATCGCATTCACGGTGTGGACTATTTGCAAACATCGTCTTCATTTCAGATCAGTGGAACTGATGCTGATGTCGTCACTGCCATGGGTAGTCTATCGTTAGAGATATTCACCAGGATTACATCGGAGGTGACTGATACGACAGAGCTTCACCAACAGCAAATGCAGACCCTTGCAATCACACACTACCTTATGAGAGATACTCCCCGAAACAAATTATCAGTCTATCATCACCTCGTTGACCTATTGCCTGCTCCAGAGCTCTCTCAGAAAGTGCTGAACAAACTCGTCAAACTTATCTGTTACTTGACTTCAGGATTCCGACTAGACATTGGGGGTAGGTATCCCATCCCATTCGGAAGTCGTCCACGTAGCGCTCACCACGTATTTTGCAGGCATCCGGAGACTGCTCGGTTTCTTACCACAAGCCGGCAAGCGGCTCGACACCGATGTATTCCTCCAGATCACATCTTCAGCACTGCTGCAATGCGCACTACTTCCGCCTGACGACTTTGCTCGTGTTCATAGCGATGTTCGTGGTGTGCTGGATGCCGCTGTCGAGTACTTCAGCTTGTCTGGCATAATTGACGTGGTCCAGACACACTCTTGGAGCGATTTTAGGTATCTCCTTGGTGCATGCTTCGACCTCGCGCAAGTGATTATCACACACCCTGTTCGCGTTGATTCTCTTTTCACGCAAGATTTTGTCAATGCGCTGGGCGGCTGTGTATCGCGAGGCCCCGGATGGTGGAAACATGCCATGGAACCTCAAATGGAGGAGATATATCGTACTTTGGGTTTCCCCACCATCTTGTACGTGCCTCATCGTGCTTTCCGTACTCAGCCCTGACATTACATATGTCAGCACTCAACCTATCTCTGAGATAACCACCAGCGCCGCACAAACACCGCAAGAAGATGTGGATGAAGGAACCATGGAGCCTCTTCTGGCGGTTGAGGAACCTCCGGTGGTGTAGGCAATGTGGGCATATATGTATGGTCGCAATGCTGTTGCTGTGGTAGCTTATGGCCTTGAGTTCAGCTGCGAGTGGTTTGTGCACTTTTGCGAGCTTGTAGCGTGATATTGTCCATGACGCAACGGCAGGGCTAGAGCACGCATCGTCGGACTATAACAAATAGGACGAGGACCTCAGTGCGTGCTCGGATACGATGCAAGACTGAGGGTGCAGTCGCAAATGCGAGCGTATAAGGCGGCGAGCAGAAACGACAGGCACAAGGTACGTGACAGGTACTATCGATGCGCACTGATGCTGCGCATGCATGCGCATGGCGGGATGAGTGCCAAGAAGGGGCGGCGCATCAGCGCGTAAATAGCGCAAGGTAAAACAGGGCGATACAGAACGGTATAGTAGCCGGAGAGCTGGCGTGAGAGCGTACGTATGGATTATCTGCTCCAACACTCCCCCATAATCCTACAGGAGCCCGAGCGCAGCAGCGAAGTGCTTAACCTTCGTGCTGGGAAGGGCCTTGGTGAGCGCCATCTGGTCCGTAGGGCAGTAGACAAGCTTCATCTTCTTGTCCTGTATGATCCACCGAATGAAATGGAACCGTATGTCGATGTGCTTCATGCGCGCGTGGTACTGGTGGTCCTGGGTAAGCGAAATGGCGCCAAGATTGTCAGAGTTGAGCAGGATGGGTTCTGTGAAAGGAGCGAAGACCTGGCCGATGAGTGAGCGCAACCAGAGTGCTTCCTTGGATGCGTGTGTGATGGCGACGTATTCGGATTCGGTCGTAGAAAGCGAGATGATCTCCTGGCGTTTGGACACCCAAGAGACTGCACCACCGTCAATTAGGAATGCGTACCCGGGGATCGCTTTGCGGTCCTCATGCATTGATCCATCGGCATCAGTGTAGCCAACGAGGTCGAGCGAGACTGCGCCATAGGTGAGTCGCAATGTCTTCGTCCCGGCAAGGTAACGAAAAACGCGTTTGACGGCTTCCCAGTGCGCGCGTCCGGGGTTCTGCGAGAAACGGGCGAGAACCGACACAGCGTAAGTGATATCAGGACGGTGTTGACTTTTGGGTATGTCGGGCAAGCGTCGCTGCCGGCCCGGGTCACGTGGTCATGCGCCGGTGTGGGAATAGGACTTATGTAGGCGTTGTGCGCCGTAGGTAGCCCCATCGGTTTGTAACCTAATCACCCATTGATCCCTGTCCATTGAGGACGTTGTCTGCCGGCAGTCTTTCCGGCGTCATTCTCACACAAACCGATCGACAAATCAAGGCTTTGCTGTTGCCTAGAACCTCGCTATACTACTCTCTCATCTGGTACTGGCGCCAACATGACTTCGGAGCATGACACCAAGTTCCCCCTCTTGATCAAGGGGAAGTATCGGGTCTGGGCAATGAAGATGGAGGCGGAGCTGGTTAGGAAGGGACTGTGGGGGGTAGTGGAAGTCGAGGTGGAGCCCAAGGAGGGGGAAGACGGGGCTGAGGCATTAGCGAAAGAGCTGAAAAAGTGTCGCGACTTGAGGTCAAGCGACAGGGGAAGACCTAAGAGCTGGGGGTGTCCGACTAAATCTCACCAAAGTGATGGTGAGCAAAGCTCAAACCTAAGGCTAGGGACAAGAAATGTATTAGTTAGTATAAGGTAAGTAAGAAAATACAGGAGCTTACTGACCTAGGGACAAGAGGTCGAAACTGAGATCCCTAGGGCAGCAGAGGCTGGCTTATATACAGGGGATGTTTAGGGGAGGCTGTGCACACTGGTCCATGCGCAGCTGGTCCGTGTGTAGCATGCCGACGCGGCCCCGGGGGCCGGTGAGTCAGAGCGGCTGTGTCAGCGGAGCCCGAGCTGTGCCGCGCACTGCCGTCCCATCTAATCTAATCGTACAGTAGATAGTATTGTGTCCATATCCGGTATGTAGTACAGAGGTCGCAGGTTTGAGCCCGCGAAAAGGAAAAATTAAAAAACGGCTAGACGCCATGTCAACTTGTGACATTATCCCCCCCTCAACGGCGCATGACCTCATGCGAGGCGCCCTTGCCCATCTCCCACCCAGAGCGGCAATGTGCTTCAGTCAGCAGCGAAGGCATTGGCTGAAAGTTGAGACCACCAAAGGTAGCAGCGTTGAGGCGGCGAGGGGCGTTCGGATTCTTCCGGTGGAAGTCGGCTATAAGGGCCGGCGCATTCGCAACATTGTGCGCCGGTTCCCAGGATGTATGCGAATCGTCATAACCCTTCCACTTGACGAGGTATTGCAGCTGACGCCGGAAGATCCTTGAATCCTTGATCCACTCAACCTCGTACTCCTCATCGCCCTCAACCTCGATCGCAGGCGGTTCCTCCAGCTCCCGACCCGGGATATCGCTACGCGTGTACTTGCTAAGCAAGGAGACATGAAACACCGGGTGTACCGGTACCGACTTCGGCAGGATTAATTCGTAATCCAGGTCTCCGAGCTTTCGCCGCACGGCATAAGGTCCGAGGCGCTTGGGACTGAGCTTTTTGCTCGGCTGTTTCAGCTTAAGGTTCCGGGCATCAAGCCAGACCTTGTCCCCCGGCGCAAAGACCGGTGCCTCTTGCACGTGCTTATCGTAGTACACCTTCATGCGCTCGGCTGACAGCTCAAGCGCAGAGCGCGTATCGTCGCGAATCTCTTTCAGGATTTTGAGCCGATCAGCGGCTGCAGGCATCGCAGACATCGGATTGATCCACACTTGGATCTCAGGATGGTACCCTTGATGCAGGAAGAAAGGGGAGTGCCCGGTCGCGGAGTGAACTCGGTTGTTCAATGCGAATTCCGCGAGCGGCAATTGCTTCGCCCAATCATCCTGCCTGTGGCTTGTGAAAGCACGCAGGTACTGCTCGATCTCCTGATTCCAGCGCTCAGTCTGGCCGTCTGTCTGAGGATGAAACACTGTAGACAGCGCCGGCTCGATCCCTAGTCCCTTGTACACCGCGTGGAGATACTTCGAAGCGAACTGGGGACCTCGGTCTGATATGACCTTGGCCGGGGCCCCATGATGCTTGAACACATCGCGGATGTACAGGTCTGCCGCACCTTCTGCTGTCAGGGTCTCATGACAGGCTGAGAAGTGGACCTGCTTGGTAAAGCGGTCGGCGGTGACCAGGATCAAGTCGAATCCATCAGACTTTGGCAAGCCGACGATCATATCGGTCGTGATGATCTGCCACGGGCGCTCGGGGATCTCGTTCGGTTTCAGCGGACCCTGGGGCTTGGCTGGGAATGTCTTGGTATGGTTGCACACGTCGCAGGTGCTTACGTACTCATTAACGAATTTAGACATCCGAGGCCACCAGTAGTTCCGCGACACGAGCTCCAGGGTTTTGGCACGGCCGCCATGACCGGCGATCGGCGAGTCGTGGTGGATTTTGACTATATCCCGCCGGAGCTCCGCGTTCTTTGGGACGTACACGCACCCGCGGAAGAGCAGAAGCCCCTGTTCGGCATTCCACTCCTCAAAACCCCTTTGCAGCCGGTGTCACGAGTTGGTACGGTGTCTAGCCGTTTTTTTTAATTTTTCCTTTTCGCGGGCTCGAACCCGCGACCTCTGTACTACATACCCGATATGGACGCGTCGCTATCTACTGTACGATTAGATTAGATGGGGCGGCAGTGCACGGCACAGCTCGGGCTCCGCTGACACAGCCGCTCTGACTCACCGGCCCCCGGGGCTGCGTCGGCATGCTGTGCACGGACCAGCTGCGCACGGACCAGTGCGCACAGCCTGCCCTTATCTTCCCCTGTATATAAACCGGCCTCTGCTGCCCTAGGGACCTCAGTTTCGACCTCTTGTCCCTAGGTCAGTAAGCTCCTGTATTCTCTTACTTACCTTACACTAACTAATACACTTTCTTGTCCCTAGCCTTAGGTTTGAGCCTCGCTCACCATCGCTTTGGTGAGAATCAGTCGGACGCTCCCAGCCTTCCAGTTTTCTCTAGTCGCTTGACCTCAAGTCACGACAGCCGGGGCGGCCCGAGGTCCTGCACCTTTTCAAGTGCCTCGGCCACTTCCCGATCCTTCTCCGAACATTCCCTAATGCGCTTTAGAAGCGACTGATCGGCTGTCACCGAGGTGTGACCGCACCTGGCGGAGGCGATGCGGAAGCGCTCTGGCTTGAGAACTACCTGATCGGTGTTATCATCCTCATCGCCGATCTGATGGTCTGATCGACGCGACAGGGCATCAGCCTTTCCATTGGACGTCCCGGCCTTGTGCGTAATGCGGAAGTCAAAGCGAGCCAGGAACAGCGACCATCGTGCTTGACGGCGCGTGAGATGCTGGGATGTACGCCAGTACTCGAGGTTCTTATGATCGGTTACGATCTCGAACTGATTGGGCAACCCCTCGAGATAGTGGCGCCAATCGTCTAGCGCCTCAATGATCGCGAGCATCTCCTTATCGTAGATCTCGTAGTTCCGCTGCGCTGGGTCCATAGCGTGCGACTGGAAGGCGATGGAATGCCATTTGCCATCATCCTGCTTCTGCATCAATACGCCGCCGGTGGCATATCCCGAGGCGTCGACTTCAATGCGCGTTTCCCGGTTAGGGTCGTACAGCGCCAAGACTGGAGTCGTCGCAAAGAGCCGTTTGAGTTCATCAAAGGCGTGCTGCTCCTCTTCACCCCAATGCCACGGATCGTTCCCGGTGAGTCGGTCGAGTGGTCGCGAGATCTTAGCGAAGTCTTTAATGAAACGGCGGTAGAAATTGGAGAACCCCCGGAACTTCTGGACATCCTTTTTGTTCCGGGGTACCGGCCACTCATTAATTCCTTTTAGCTTTGCGGGATCCATCGCTACCTCATCGCCACCGAACACGTAGCCGACATAGTCGACCTTGGGAACGTCCCATTCGCACTTTTCAGGCTTCAGGAATAAATCATTGTCCTGAAGGCGGCGCAGAACCTCGCGTGTGACCTTCTCATGCTCCTCTTTATTGGTGGAGAAGATGAGTATATCATCTAGGTACACGAGGATCTTGCCACCAACAAT